ATCATAGTGCTCGTACTTGTCCTTGCAGTAGTGCTCCAGTGTACACTCGCATGAGTTGGGGCAGACCTGTGCACCGCGCAGCGCCATGAACCTGTTGGGCAGAGCAACGCACATGTACACACGTGTGTTTGCTTCGTAAGTTCCCACAGCCAGCAGCAAACAACATTAAAACGAGGATTGGGGGGGGGGAGGGACAAAAAAGGTACAGCCCCTAAAACAGAGGATGACAACCATGAAACCAGTATCACCAACACGTAGCGCAACAGCACGGATGTGCACGTACGCGTTGAAGTTGTACACGCGTTGGCGGAGATCAGTGGCGGTGATGTTGCGGAAGTTCCATGCAGCGCCGGCCTGATGGCAGTCGTGTCGATGGTCGATGATGGATGATCGATGGTGGTGGAGTGAGGAGAAACGCAGCAGCAGCGGCAGCAGCGTTAGTGTGAGTGAAGGACCGTTCACAAGCAAGAGACAACGCCAACAGCGCAAAAACCTCACACGTTCCCAGCAACGTACACGCCCGTGTATGTATACGCATGTACACATACACGTACACATGCACACGTACACGCGCACAAGCAAACACACGCGCACACACGCGCACACACGCGCACACACGTACACACACACGTACACACACGCGCACATACACACACTTTTTCACACACACCATGTAAGTGACGCGGGGAAAGAGGGAGGAGAGCGTGGCGTTGCGTGCAGGCCTGTCCTGAGTACGGGGAGCAAGGAAGCTTGCTGGTGGCGTGATTGTGCTGTTGGACCCACACGGCTGCTCCTCGCACATGCTGGTGATTCCAATCAAGCAACAGAGACAACCCATTGATCGAATGAGCGCAACATGAACCCGGAGAAACGTGTGAGCTCACAGACACAAATGCATCAGGGGAGATAATCAAGCAACCAAAGTCGTACACAACACACATGACGCATGACACACACACACACACACACACAACACACGCACACACACACACACACACACACGCTCTCTCGATGCTTACGCGTTTGTGAAGAAGGTGGCGGCGGCACCGGTGACAGACGGCCCCATGGCGGTCTACAATATGAAGGTGGAAACGATTGAAGGTAGTGTTACATGGTTAACTGAAAGAACGACAACACGCCACAACACGGAGGGTATCAACCACGCCAAACGAACATGGTGGCGATGCACGTTTGCCAAATGTCATGGGCCAACTCACGTAATCACGGTAGGAGTCCTGGCTTGCTCCCTCGCCACTGCCGACAGCAAGTGCAGTCAAAAATAACGTGGTGTTGAGAATCACACGGAAGCGCGTGCAAGTAGTAATGCGCAGCTCGTTTCTCTCTCTCTCTCTCTCTCCCACGTGCACACAAACGCACGCACACACGCACACGAATACACACACACACACACACACGGATACACACAGACACACAGACATAAAAACACACACAGACAAACAAACACACAGACAAACAAACAAACAAACAAACACACTCTTTACCCTTTCCTCCATCAGTATCACATCGACAACGGAACAGAAAAGGTGTGAGACGTACGCGAATGGGAGGGACGGCATGCTGGCGTTGACGTTGCGGTAGCCAGAGACAATGGTTGAGCCTGCTGTTGCCACGGGCTTGGAGCCTGGCGTGGCAAACACAAGCGTGTCCTTGGGGAGCTGTTTTGTGAGCGCCGCAGCAGCCATATCCCACACGGCCGCCTTCGTGCCGGGCTTTGTGACGCTGGAGACGGCAGAGAGGAAGACGCGCTTGACATCGGCGACGGTGCAGTTGCCCGCGGCAGCAGCAGCATCGGCACCACCAACAAAGAAGTAAGGCGTGTCGAAATGAGTGAGCACGTCCGTGATCACGTCGCCCAGGAAGGAAAGGGTGCTGGCGTCGTTGTTCAGCACGCTCTTCTCCGTGTACACGTCATCGCTGGTGCAGAAGAAGACGTTGTCCTCGGCGGGCTGGAAGCCCGAGGCGTGGGAGGGGAGCTCCATGTGCGGAACCAGACGCACCCCACGCTGGCTGGCGTACTCTTGCAGGTTACTCATGACGTGGCCAGGGTACAGGCCGTTGAGGTCATCGGTGAGCTCGTTGTAGCGGGTGGCGACGCGGAACGCGCCGTAGTCGCTAAAGTGCATGCCGAGCGTGTTCAGCTTGAGCATGGCCATGGAGTCGATGAGCTCGTGCATGGTCTGCAGATCAAGGTAGCGCGAGGCCACGTCCACAACGAGGCCGCGGTTGGCCAGGGTTGGCGAGTCGCGCACTTCGAGGTTGTCGCAGGGCACGGCGCCCTGGCCCTCCATGAGAATCTGCGTGAAGGTCTCCAGCGCGTACACGGCGCCGGCGATGCTCGGCGTGTGCACGGCAATGGTGTTGTCGTTTGTGGCGATGGTGTACGACTCTGCGGAGGGCTCGCGATCCGGGATCGCCGGCTGAGACACGGAGATGACCATGCCGTTGATGGAGTTGGCGCTCTTCTTCGGCGCCCACGCATCCTTGTCAGTCACAATGTCCGCGATGATGCGCGTGTACCGCGCGATGATGGGGCTCAGGCTGTCCTGCGTGCTGGTGATGCTGAAGGACTGCCAGAGCTTGCGTGGCGACTGGCCCGTGCACGTCTGCGTCACCGGCTGCGGCCACACGTTGATAATCGTCTCCGCGGAATCTGCAGCACTGCATGGCGGTGCCAGCAAGGCCAAGCTAGCAACAACAACAACAACAGCCAGGCCAGCAAGGCGCAGCAGCACCGTCATCATGGGTTGATTGGGTGGGGGTGGGATGGATGGATGGACGGCACAACAACAATCACAGCACGCGTGTGTTTGGTTGGTTGGTGTGTTTTGGCGTGGCGATGATGGATGAGGATTTGGAGCAACCCGTTTTATGGTGTCGTAAGCAACTTGTTTTTTTGGGGGAGAGGAGGGGGGGGGGGCTTGATGTGACATGTGATGTGACAGATGTGATGGACTGCTGGCCAAACGAATCGACGCACACGACCTGACACCATCCACACGTGTACATCCAATCCACAATCCACAATGCAACACGTAAACACACACACACACACACAATGCAACATACACACACAATGCAACACACACACACACATGCACGCATCCACATCATTCGCTCACTCATGCTCAATTGAGCATGCTCTAATAACTCTCTGGTTCCTGCAACGGGTATCCATCGCCACCTCCCAGGCCGCTGGTCCCCTCTTCTTCATCTTCGTCGTCTTCGGCGCCATCGTCCCTGTTGTTGGTGGCGCCGTTGGGGACGTCGGCAGTGGCGTCCATGGCCTTGTTGCTGCTGATGGGGTTCACGACGGGCGCACCTGTCAGCGCATGCTTGTCGAGCTCCGATCGACGCTGGTAAAACAGAAAATAGCTCGATGTGGACTGGTGCCAACGTCAAAACCGGTGCAGGGGTAACATGGAAAAACAAATTGGGGATGAGCAACGTGCAAATGAAGACACGCAGGTGCGTGTGCATTGGCGTGTTTGAAGATGTATGGCTGAAGATGTGTCTGCATGTGTATGAAGCTCCTTTGTGCATGTGTGTGTATGAACTTGTTTGTGCGCGTGCTGTGTGCGCGTGCGTGTGCACTCGCTTGACATGAGTTGTCAGTGATAGGCCAAGCTGCAGCAGATTGAATACACAGCGAAGCATGTGTTGCAGGCGCACATACCACAATGTTCTTGGGTGCAATTTCGCCCACGTAGCTGTCGTCGAATTCATACCAGCGACCGTTGGTGTCCAGACAATACGCGGTGTCTGCCAGGCCATACAAAGCACCAAATGCAACGCGTGCACCATTTCAATCAGGGCGTAGTGATTTTCATGAGCGCACGAGACAAACTCACACAACATGAGTGCCGAAAGGTACGCCAACTACAATGATGGTGATGATGACGATGACGCGCGCACACACACAACATTCACACACGCATACATACACACACGCACGCACACAACACACACACAACAACAACAACAACAACAACACATACATACACACACCACTTACACACCAAAGCGTTCAGAAAACAGGCAAGGCAAGGAGCAGCGGTGACGTACAGTGTCCGCCGCCAAGACCGCCCATGTGGTTCGAGACGCCGTAGAGGTCGTACACGGCCGAGTCGTGCTGCTGCGGATCGAGTACATACGGGCCAAGGTCCAGCCCTTCCAGCGGGAAGTCAACCAGGGTGTCCAGCTTGTCGCGCCACCACGAGTTGTACGAGAACCGCTTCAGGTGGATCACAAGCGTGTCCGGCAGCTTCCACACCTCCATCTGCTTCTCGGCTTCTTTGGGCTCCTTGCACACGGGGCACCGCCTGTGCATGCGCAGCAGCAACAGCACCAGCACCAGCATCAGCAGTAGCAGAACAGTTGAAAGCGGCAAAAGCGGTAACAAATGGCACAGTGCGAGTGGGAATCAGCAAGGAGAATGTGAGCGGGAGGGGGAAGGGGACGGAACGGCAGGATCGAAACACAAACACACAGACACACACACACACACAGACACACACACATACATACAGATACACACACACACACAGATACACACACAACACGGATGCGCGCAACAATGCGTACCACATGTTGTCGTGTGTGAGCCTCTCCTTTGACGTGTAGTAGTCGAGGCATTGTGTGAGTGGGACGGCGCCGTTGGTGACCTCGTCGCCCTGGCCCACCGACGCATCGTCCTCAGGGTACAGCAGATCCCCAAAGTCAACAGCCTGAGGAAGTACATAGGTGGGCAAGGCCGTGAGCGAGTGCTGTTGCAAATATGCGAGTTGTTGGCATTGCAAACGCAAACACGCAACCCACAAGTCCACCACAGACAAACGCGTGCAAGAAGCGGACAGCCCAGAAATCAAGATCAAAACATGATATGGCAGCACTGACAACAACAACAAACAACAACAACAAACAACAACAACTTAAACAACAACAAGTTAAACAGCACCACCACCTTGTAGTCGTCGATGACGATGAGGAGAACGTCGTTCAAGTCTGAGGAGAGCTCAATCTTCGCCTCGGGCGCAAGCCGCTTGGTCGTTTGCGCGTATTTGTTTGCCATCATCAGCTGCATGGACGGCAGCCCGCTCTCCTCTTCGTCTGCGCCGTCACCGCTGTGCTCTCCTTCTGCAGAGTTGGACGCGTCATTGTCGGCGTTGTTCTCCGCATCGTCATCGTCGCTGTCGTCGTCGCTGGTGGAGCTTGAGCGGCCCGTGCTGCGCGTCGTGCGCCGCTTTCGCGTCGTCGCCTTCTTCTTCCGCTTATTGTTGTTCTTCTGAAACTCCATCTCCAGCGCCTGATCCAGCTCATCATCATCGTCGTCGCCGTCAGCATCATTGTCGCGATTTGCGTCGCTGCTGTTCCCGGTGTCGTCCTCCACAGCCATCGGCGCACTCGTCCGCACATACGGCCTGATCGTCGACAGTTGAAACAGCCACAGCAACGCGTGTGAATACATGAGCGCGCGTCCGCGTACGTGTGCATGTGTGTGTGTGAGCGCGCGTCCGCGTACGTGTGCATGTGTGTGTGTGTGTGTGTGTGTGTGTGTGTGTGTGTGTGTGTGAGTGGATGTGACATGGCTGAACACAGTCATCGGTGTGTCGTGGAGGGGGGCATGGCACACGGTTGCGTGGGCTCACAGCTGACAGATAACAACAACAGCAGCAACAACAACTGAAACAACGACAACACATGAACGTGTGAGTAGGCGCACCTGACGAGAGCACGTGCAGTCGCAGCAAGCTTGGTGCCTGTTGTGTTGCGGGCAATGGAGATGGCGGCCGGTGGGCGCAGCTTCTCCATGTGGTTGTACGCCGTCTTGCGGAAGAAGTACACGGGCAGCGCAACAACATCGTCCGCTGGCGTCTCCTCAAGCTCATGCGCAATCTGTCGACGATGGATGCGGCGGTGATGGTGATAGCGGTGGCGGTGGCGACGTGAGTGGGCAACACGAACAGCAATCAGCCGTGTGACTCGTTTGGGCAAGCCGAGCATGATGCCCACTCGGCAGGGTGCGAGGCAACGACTGCAGCGCAGCAAGTTGCAGCACATGAATGGGCTCAAGGAAGAACAAGATACCAATTTGTGTGTGTGTGTGCATGCATGGGAACAATCGGGTCACATCACGCACCAAACTGTCTGAGGTGCGAATGGAGCTTGTCTTCTCGTGAAAGTCCAGCACCTTCCACACTTTGCCTGCATACACGTCTGTGACAACAAACTTGCTTGCTGACACGCCTGTCATTTTCTCCAGCTCCTGACACATCATTGAGATGGTGCCCGTTGTCTTGGGCAACTTCACCCCATACTGCAGCACACAGCAGTTTCATGTTGGGGGGGGGGGTGAGGGATGAGCGTGCAACAGCGTGAGGATAAGAATGCGAGCATGTGTGGTGTAAGCGTGAGTGAGTGGGCGATTGAGTAGACCAATGGGTATTTAAGTGGGGAGTGCGTGCGTGAGTGTTTGCATACGGTCGTGCATGGCCGTATGCAGGCATGAAAAGCCCCCGTACCCGCTTCGGTGGGCGGTTGGGGTCCTTGAAGGAAACGGTGACTGGAAACACCTTTGTCTCGTTCTCAGGCAGTGGTACTTGCAGATACATGAACGGGTCAAACGTGATGGAGACCTGCCACAGACCGGCGTCAACAGGCACTGCATCAGAAAAGGAGCAGCACTTGGCCGAAGCCTAAACTTTGGGTCGGCGCGGCGACTGAGACACCCAATCACACCCAACCCCCAAACCCCCCCCCCCCACACACACACACACCAACAGACGCAAGCCTGACCTTGTTGCAGTCTGGACAGACAAGAGTGCTCTTGAGCTGGCCGTGGAAAAGGTCGACGATGATCGAGTCGTTGCGGAGTTTGTGCCGGTGCCACGCGAGCGCGGCGGCCTCGGCGTCCTCACCCTCGGCCTCCTTCATCTCCACGTACGGCTTGTCCCGGATGCGGTTCAGGTCCTCATGCAGCCCGTCCAGCAGGAAGGACGTCAGCTCCTGCGAATCGTGCTGCTGGTATCCTGCACCAGTACACCGCCAGCAAACGTACATGCATTTCGGAGTGAGCACAGACACTCGCGTTGGACTGTAGTTCCATAACAACTTCGTGTGTGTGTGTGCGTGTGCGTGTGTGTGTGTGTGTGTGTGTGTGTGTGTGTGTGTGTGTGTGTCGTCTGTCGCCTTGTCTGCGTTGCAAGGCACGGCAGTGGACCTGGTGTCATGATTAACACCCACCTCCATTCCACCCCCTGTCTTCCTCCCCAGCCCCAACTACCCGCCCTTCTTCTGCACACCCAACGGCAGGGACGCACCAACAAACTGCGGGGCGAATCGGCCAATGGCAAACTTGAATTCGCGCGGGGTGATGACTCGCGCGCTGCCCTGCCACAGCTGTGCAATCAGCTCCCTGTATGCCATCGCCAGCCGGCCCCCGCACCCAATCGGGTTGTCTGGGTTGAGGTCCTCCTTGTACGGCCCTTCCAGGAAGTAGCGTGTCAGCGGCAGCGTGTGGCTCAGGCACTGCAGCGCCGAGTTCATGAAGCACGTGTTGCCAAGGTTGGTCAGCCCCGTGCGGCCCTGGCGCGGCTGCCCGGCAACTGGCGACCCGAGCGCGTGGCTCGTCGCCCCGTAGCCTGTCGAGGACGACGCCGACGGCAGCGACGCAAGCCCCGCGCCCGCACCAATCCCGCGCGTCGATGATGATGCAAACGACGACGATGATGGCGCTGTGGATGCAAGTGCACCGCGCTTGCTGCCGACCGAGGCTGCGCCGGCTGATGGCGACGTGAGCGGGCCCAGCGCGTCGTCGTCGTCCATGTCGTCCTCAGCGCCGCTGCCATTGACCGGGGTGGCCGAGGTCGCGCTCTCCGCATCGCTGTCGGCCTCAATGGCGTCCGACGGCCACGTGCCGTCGTCAGCTTGCGTTTCCACGCACACCATCTGCTTTTGGTACAGGCTTGCGCTGCCCACCTTGGCCTTGCCAGAGAGCACCTCGCCCCGCATGCGCAGGTGGAAGTTTCGCAGGCGGGTTGTTGTGTCTGCGGGGATGCCGAGCCTCTGCTTTGCGAGCTCGTGCAGCTGGTCGAAGTCTGCGGTGCGGCTCACGTCGACAACCACGCCCTTCTCTGCGCCGTTCAGCACAGCCGTCACCCGAAGATACGCAAGATCAACCTGTGTGCGTGCGTGCGTGCGTGTGTGTGTGTGCAATGGGGGTGAGGGAAGGAACCACTTGGAAACTGCTCACGTTGGCCTCACACAAGGAGAGGCAGAGATAGAGCAGGCACACACACACACACACACACACAGACACACACAAGCACGCATGCACAAGAACTCACCACACATTTGTCCTCGCGCATGACTGTTTTCCGCTTCACTTCTTGCTTTGGGTGCACTAGCCCATACCAAGCCACCAGCTGTCGCCACGTTTCCTCATCAAGGATGTGCACGTTGTACCCCTCTGCCAAAAACGGCTTCACACCATGCTCATCTGTCGACAAGAGTGGTTTCAAATGTACATGATATCAGCTCATGACACAAGGAGGACGCAAAAGCGCGAGGATGCAAAGGCGCAGCATCGCCCAAAACACAGACAGGCAGCTTCGGCTCACTTGACGCACCAAATAATGCGCTGTTGTCGATAGGGCCAGGGGGTTCCTTTTGACTGCCCTCCGCAAACCGTTTCCAGGTCTCAAACCACTTGTGATCAACCAAGTACCTGGTGATGCCATTGCATTGCATTGCGTGCATGCATGGACATGTGTGTATGTGTGTGTATGTGTGTGTGTATGTGTGTGTGTGTCAGGTGTTGATGTGCGAGTAGTCGAGGGCTCACTTGCTCTGCGCCATCCCACATATGCCATGCACGCACGCACGCACGCACACACACGCACACGCACACACAATTACACACACACACATGCACACACACAATTACGCACACACACACATACATACATACACGCACACACAAGCACGCAAACTGCGTGATGATGACAAGGCGCGCTCACCATGTCTGGTCGAGTTTGACTGCTGGCGCCTTTTCGAACAAGTCGCTCACAACCCTCTTTTGTGTCTGGGCATCTGGCCGCTCTTGCTGCTGCTGCTGCTGCTGCTGTTCATTCACGGCCATGGTGTCGCCACCAGTGTCCATCGTCATGCCTTTGTGCGTGCGTGCACGTCAAGTCTGTCCTCCAGTGCGCCTGCCTGCTGCTGCGCTGCTGCTTCCGTTTGTGTGTCGATCCACACCTCTCTCTTTGTTGCTTTGCTTCTTCTTGCTCGCAGTCTCGCCGTCGAAAATCTTTCGTCCAGACGCTCACTTTTCAACCCACCAAAGTGTGGACACTTCTTGCTGTGTCTGTTGTTGATGTGCAGGCTGACCTGACAGACAGACTGACTTGCTTGACGTGATGTGACACGAGGCACACGATACATGGCACACACACACGCACACGCACACACACACACATACACACGCACACACACACACACACACACGATACACACGACATACACGTGTATGGAGCTAGTGGTTGGTGTCGGCTGTTGGGTTTCCATCGTGGCCGTGTGTTCATTCGGTCAGAAGGCGCTGAGCAGCGGCCACAACACCCTCCTTGGAGAGGAAGGTGATGGTGCTGCCAAGCGGGTTGTAGGTGGGACAAGCCGTGACGCAGTACCAATGCTGGGGAAGGTAGCCTTCCGACTGCAGCTGGCAGATGAACCCTGCGTACGGGTTCTGTCCTTGCTTACACACATCAGCAAACACGACGCGGTCAAACTCCTTGCTGGCCAGGATGTCGCGCAGCCCATGCGGTACTTCGCTGATCAGCGGCGTGTCCACCACCGTCGCCTCCACCCCATCTGCCCGCAGCTCCTCGGCCGCCTCCAGACACGTCGGAACACCGTTGCCGTACGTCACCAACAGCACACGCTGCTGCTGCTGCTGCTGTTGCTGCTGCTGCTGCTGCTGCTGCTGCTGCTGAGGTGTGGCGTCTACCTCGGGTGACTGCTGGGTTGTTGAAGTTGTTGTTGCGTCTGCTGTTGTTGCATTTGCAGCTGTTGGGCTGTAGCGGATGACGGTGTGCATGTGCATCTCCTCGTCGGGCCCCGGGTAGGTGCGGCGCCAGGCGTCGTCGTCCTGCAGCAGGTGCCGCTTGTTCAGCAGGTTGGTGGAGTCCACGCTCATAATCACCCGCCCTTCGCGCGCCCGCTTGATCAGGAACCGCCAGCCGCGCGCATAGTCCTCGCCGCAGGAGTAGCACACCACATCCAGCCCCGGCGGCAGCGTCAGCACGTTGGTCGTGTGGTGGTTGCCGCCAAACACGCCCTTGTCAAAGCCCTGCAGGCGGTAGATCATGCCCTTTGAGGGGGAGGCGTTGCTCAACCACGTGGTGAAGATGGTCTCCAGGAACATGTCCATGCCGCAGTCGAGATACTGCAGTGTGTTGAGCCAAGAGAGGCAGGAGCGTGGTTAACACCTCATGGTACATGAAAGGTGCATGTAAATCCGTGCACACATGGGAAGGCACAGGAAGGTACAGGACCGTACACACACATGCACGCACACACACATGCACGCACACACACACCTTTGCGTAAGGGATTTCGACGATTGGGGTGAGGCCGACCTGGGAAAAGCCCTGCCCGGCACCAGCGAGCATGGTTTCGTCTGGTGGGAAGTCGCGCACACGCACGTTGTACTTGTCAACCAGCCCATCCGTCACCAGATAGTACCCGCCGTGCTCCACGTCCTCACCCATGTACACAACCTGCATTTGTGTGTGTGTGTGTGTGTGTGTGTGAGGGGAGGGGGAGTGTCGTGGTGATGATGAATGTTCGCAGTGGTAACCACAGAACAATTCAACGCAACACCAGCGAGCTCTCATCCGTACCTCTCTCTCTATCCCACACACACACACACACATACGCACGCACACACACACACACACACACACACACACACACACACACACGCACGCACACACATACGCACGCACACACACACGCACGCACGCACACACACACACACACGCACATACGCGCACACACATACACACACATTACCCCCCCCCCCACACACACACACACGCACACATGTACGCACGTCGTCGTAAGTGTTGAGGATTTCGTCGAGGACGCGCGTCATTGCCTTGCGCATGACGAGCTTGCGGCCCTTGGTCGCCCGCACGCGGTCCATCGACGTCTCTTGCACATATGTCTCGCACGGCGGCAGCGCAGACCGGTGCAGCCGCTGCAGCGTGCTCTCCAGTGACACCTTTGGCTCCTGCGTAGCTGTGTCAAACGCGCGGATCGTTTCGCCGTGCACCTCATCAAGCATGGCCACCAGCTCCTCCCGCGACACCAGGCCCTCGTCAATTGCTTGCAAGCACGCGCCGAGCAGCGGGTTGGAGTACTCGTGCAGGTCCATCTCCTCCTGCGTCAGGTACGCGTCCTGCCGGTCTGTGGCCGCGTGCCCAAACCGCCGCGGCATGTCTGTCACGGCCAAGATGACGGCCTCCTTGTTGCGCCGCGCGTGGGTGATGGCGTTGTTGGCCGCGGTGTACACCTGCGCCATGTCCCGCCCGTCAGCCACGAACCGCGCAATGTTGACGTGCGAGAGAAACCCCTCGGAGAACCACTTGTATCCCTTGAGCGAGATGCTGAGGTTGTTGTCTGTGACGCCAAATACGACGGGGCACTTGTACCCGCGGAACTTGGCGTACTCGGCAAAGTTGATGGCGGTGAGGAAGTGCGCGTTGTTGATGGAGCCGTCCCCAACGCTGACGTAGCTCACGGCGCTCGCGGGCGCAAAGCCGGCAGCCAGCCGCGACGCCAGCCCGTTGCCGAGCGCACGCCCGACGGCTGGCGGGCACTGAGACGCGAGCGTGCTGGTGGCGATGAAGGAGTACGGGTCGTGGGCGTCGCCGCCGAGGGCGCAGTGCACGCCGCCGGTCACCTCGTCGTAGGCGGAGACGGTGTGTGCGCGGGCGCGGGCGAGCAGCGAGTCCGACAGGCTGCGGCCCATGCGGATCTGTCGAACAAACTGGGTGGCGAGGTGGCGGTAGTGCAGGCAGATGAAGTCTGTTGGGCGGAGGAGTTCGCCCACGGCGGCCATGAGCTCCTCGCCGCAGGGCCCGATGGTGTAGAAGCCCCGACCGAAGAACGAGGCCACGCGCGCCTCCGTGTGGCTGCAGAAGGTCATCATGCCGGCCTTGAGCATGCGCAGGACGGCGTCGCGGTCAATGCCCGCCTCCCTCATGGACGTGCGGTGGAACAGGATCACGTCCTCCAGCTCCGGGTTGGAGCCGAAGGAACGCGCGTGGGCGAACAGGTCATCCTTGCTGTGCGGCAGCGTGCGCAGGTCATGATGGAACCGGTTGAGTTGTCGCACCTCCGGGATCTTGGACAGCACATCCTGGTTCTCCGCTCGCAGTTGACTAAACACAACTTCCTCCCCGCTCTCATCGCCTTTCCATGTGGTGTGCGTGCGCGCGTGTGTGAGCATGTGTGTGTATGTGTGTGTGCATGTGTATGTGTGCATGTGTATGTGTGTGTGTGTGCATGTGTATGTGTGTGTGTGCATGTGTATGTGTGTGTGTGTGGCAGCGAGGCAAAGCGGACAACAAATGTGTGCTCACAACACACGTACACACACACATGTACACACACACACACACATGCTCACACACACACACACACATACACATACACACACACATACACGTGCGCACACACACACACACACATACACGTGCGCGCACACACACACACGCATGCTCACACATGCATACACAAGCACGCATGCATGCACAAGCACACGTGCGCACCTGCTCTGACGGTGGTGTGGCCGGACCCGGCCTGGCGTCCCCACCATTCATCCCGAGAAGGGTACACAACCGCCGGCTGCGCGGCGGGATCGCGGCCACTGGAGCTGGCCAGTGTGCGTCGCACCACTGCGACACGCGCACCTCGTCGCATCATCGTCCTTGTCCTCGTGCACACCCCAGCAGCAACGCGACCAGCAACAAAAGCGACCAAGTGGTGTTGCGAAGTGTTAATGAATTGGGCAACCGCCTTTGGCTTTTCGTTTGGCTGTGTCAAGAGGCATTACGACACAATCTGCTCGCCACAAGGGGCATGGTTTTTCAATGGGTGAACGAACATCACGGTAACGGTGAGAGAGAGAGAGAGAGAGAGAGAGAGAGAGAGAGAGAGAGAGAGAGGGAGGGGGGAGGCGGGGAAGGGAATAGAAACGAACTAGCCAACACATCATCACGCACAGCAGACAATCAATGCATCATCTTCATCTTGTTTCAAAGCCAATTACACATGCACACACACACACACACACACACACACACACACACACACACACACACACACACACACACACAAGGTCGCATCCGCACACAAGAGCAACCAGACAAGCACAGACAAGCGCATGCAATCGCACGCACACACATACACAGGTAAGTGCAATCGCACAAACACGCGCGTGTCACTGGGCACTGCCGCCATCGGGGACGGCGGCGATGGTGAGCGACCGTTTCAACCGGGTGCGCGCCGGCGCCCGTCGCGATCGCGTTCGTCGCGGCGGCCGACGCGGACTCCCGCTCGCACGTGCACTCGCCGCACCACGTGCGGGCGCTGACGGTGCTGGACCTGTTGTCGCGGTGCCATATGTCCTCACTGGTGCGTGTGCGCTGGTCGGCGTGTTGATACTCAACCCAGCAGCAGCTGCTGTCGTCGTTGTCGTTGTCGTGGCGTCGTCATCACTGGTGAGCAGCGTGCTGCGCATGGAATCCTGCCAGGGCCCACGCAGCCGCCGCCAATACTCATACGACCGCTCACCACCACGGCTCTCTTCCAGATTGTCTCCGCCGCCCGTCTGCTGCTGCTCGCGTCTGACATCGTCTTGGAGGCGATGGCTCGCATTGAAGGCGTCGGCAGCGTTGACGGCAACATTGCCGCTGCCCTGCACAAAGAGGGGCTCCTCCTCATCATAGTCATCGTAGTCGTCGTAATCGTCATCTCCATCGTCCACGGGCACCCAGTGGTGCGAGTGCACGCCGTACGCGGCGCAGTCGTGTTCTAGCTCGTCAAGCCCAATGCGGTCCCGGTCGTCCTTGTCTGACATGTGATGCGTCGACAGCGGCATGAAGTAGTGGATTGTCTTGAGGATCACGTACGTCCACACGGCGCCCCACACGGCGACAATGACGATGGCGGCGGCCTGGTAGAACAGCAGTTTGCCTGACCCCCCGTAGATGATGCCGCGCTGGGCAACGAGCGGGTTGGCGGCGGGGTGGGCTGCAATGCCAATGGCCAGGGCACCCACGACACCGGGCACACCGTGCACGGAGCTCACGTCGAGGGCGTCGTCAATGTGGAAGCGGTACTTGATGATGTCGATGGAGAAGAACGACGCAAACCCAAGCGTAAGCCCGAGTACCATGGCAGACCCCGTTGAGATGAACCCTGCTGCAGGTGTGACGCCTGCAAGCCCAGCGATTGCGCCATTCAAGATCTCCTGCACACGCGTGTATGTGCGTGGGGTGTGTGGCGGATAGGAGGGTGAGAGACAGAGAGTGTGCGCGTGCGTGTACGTGCGTGTGTGTGTGGACGGTTACAGAATCTCCTTACAAGCAGGGGCCACAGCAACATGCAAGGGCACGATGCATGTCACTGGATGAGCTGCTTCGACAGCATTCCCGTCCCCCTACACACACACACACACACACACACACACACACACACACACACACACACACACACACACACACACACACACACACACACACACACACACACACACACCTCAACGTTGGGACGGCCGCGGTACCAGGAGAGGAGCAGCCAGACACACGCACAGGAGGTGGAGGCAATCTGCGTGTTTGCGAGGACGGTGGCTGTGATGTAGCCCGAGGTGAGGCTGCTGCCGGCATTGAAGCCGAACCAGCCCATCCACAGGCAGAACCCGCCCACGCAGGCGATGGGGAGGTTTGACGGCTTGAAGTGGCCGTGGGCCCCCATGAAGCCGATGCGCGGGTGCACGAGGATGGCGGAGACGAGCGCGGAGGCGCCTGCAGAGGTGTGGATGACAATACCGCCAGCATAGTCCAGCACGCCGTACTGTGTGAGCCAGCCAGAACCCCAAATCCAGTGGGCAACAGGGTAGTACACGATAATCTCCCAGGCAACGATGAAGAGCACGTAAGGTGCAAACAGCAGCCGCTCCGCAAAGGCGCCCGTCATGAGCAGCGGCGTGATGGAGGCAAACATCATCTGGAAGGTGGCGTACGCCAAGCCCGGGATGCGCATGCCGGGGAAGCAGCCGTTGTCCGGCACGCTCACCAGCGCCGGATAGGACGCCGGCGACCCGATGAAGCCTCCCAAGCTCTCGCCAAACACAAATGAGAACCCAAACAGGTACCACATCACCCCCATGATGGAGCACCCGCACAGCACCTGCGTCAACACAGACACCGTGTTCTTCGACCTGCACATACACACGAGTCGGGGGTGCGGATGTTGCGTGGGTCAGGGTGATGAGGACGTTGGAGGGAGGTGACGGAGGTGGTGAAAAGGAGGATGAGAAGACTGGTGAGGCTGAGGAGGGTGCGAATGCCACAATTAAACATGTTTGGGAGGGACGACAGACACAAGACACATGCTGAAGCACACACGCTTACGTACACAGAGAGACAGAGAGAGACAGACCGACAGACAGAGACAGAGACAGAGAGAGAAACACACACACAGAGACAGAGAGAGAGACAGACAGACAGACAGAGACAGAGAGAGAGAAACACACACACAGACACACACACAGACACACACACACACATACACACACGCACACACACACACAGACGCACACACACAAACACCCACACACACACACACGCACACACACACAAACCCGCGTGCAAACACACGCACACATAAGCATGCCTGTCCTGACCTGAGTAGGCCGGCCTCAAACAGTGCAAGGCCCGGTATCATGCCAAGGATCAGCAGCGTGGCCGTCAGCACCCATGCCGTGTCACCAGCATCAATGCAAGGATCCGTCGGCACAGTCGTCGACGTGGACGTGGTCGTGAACGTGGTTGTCGTGGCCAGCGTGCTCGTTGTATTCATCTTGCTGGGTGGTGAAGAGAGAGGTGGTGAAGAGAGAGGGGAAGCGAGGATGTGTGTGCGTGTGTGACAACAACAACCAAGCAAGCAAGCGACCAAGCGATGGAGCTTGGAGGGGGAATGCACAACGATGCGTGGGTTTGTTGGTTTGGAGGTGTGCATTGTAGAAAAGTGGTCGAACACTCGACCGATTTTCTTCCTCCAGCAGTGCGCAAATTGCGCAACATGCATGCATGACGACACTCGTTGTTTACTTTGTTTTGGGCACACCCAACACGACACACACGACACACACGACACACACACACACACAGACACACACACACACAGACACACACACACACACACACATCCAACACAGACACATCCAACACAGAGACACACAGACACGCCCGACACGACACACACCCAACACGACGCACACGACACACACACACACACACACACACACACACACACAGAGCAGCTTCCTTCCCTTCCCCCCACCCTTTCCACCATCTCTCCTCCTCTCCTTCCCACTCCCTCTCTCATGACTCGTCGCCGCCTGCGAGGCCGTCGCCGCGGCCGACCCGGCTGACCTGCTGCGACTGCACGCTCTCCAGCTTTGGGCAGGACGTGATGCGGTGCCCAGGGCCGCCGCAGTACGCGCACCCGCCGTGCTCAAGGAACTTCTCGTGCTCCGAGCGCAGGTTCTGCAGGAACGGCGGCACGCGCTGCTTGGCCTCCTTGAGCAGGTACTTGAGATCAAGCAGCGAAATCTCGGGCACCTCGTCGTTGATGAACGTTGTGGCAAGACCCGTGCGCCCGCTGCGGCCCGTGCGCCCAATACGATGCACGTAGTTCTCGAGCTCGTCAGGCATGTCAAAGTTGATGACGTGCTGGATGCCCTTGAAGTCGAGGCCCTTGCTTGCGATGTCTGTGGCCACAAGCACGTCTTTCTGACCCTTCTTGAACGCCTTGACGGCCATATCACGCTCCTCCTGGTCCTTGCCGCCGTGGATCGCAACAGCTTGCACGCCTGCACCACGCCAGGGAGCACAGAGGAAACCGCAGTCAGCACATGCGGGACGAGGCGGAAGCATTTGTGTGCATGTGTGTGCGAGCGTGCAGTGTGTATATCGGCGGTGATGTGGTGTGATGTGATGCGATGGTGATAGGTTGACGCATATGCGTGTCCACGAACACGCAAATACAAACACACAACCACCCAATTGCACACACACACACACACACACACACACACACACACACACACACACACACACACAACACACACACACACACACAAGACACACACAAGACACACACAAGACACACACACACACGACACAACACACTCCTCTCCCCTCCTGCTGTAGTGCGCACCTTTGAGGAGGAGGTACTCGTGGATATCGTCGACATCGGCCTTTTTCTCCGAGAAGATCATGACGGGCGGAGGCGTCTTCTGCAGACACTCCAGCAGGTACACAATCTTCGCCTCTGGTCGCACGTGCTCAACCTCCTGCACGACGTCCAGACTCGCAGCACCGGCGCGGCCAACGTTCACCGTAATCGGGTCAACGAGCGCACTCTGCGCAAAGTCTGAGCAGCAACAAGGCGGTGGTGGGCACGTGGTGATGTGTGAGGAAAACCTTGCGAAACTGCCACGCCACGGCAGCCATCATAGCAAACAACAACCAAAAAAAAAAAAAGGCATATGGACCAGTCACAACAATCGACACGACTTCATTTACACACCCACACGCACACACGCACACACGCACACACGCACACACGCACACATGCACAGACACAGACACAGACACAGACACACCTCGAATCTTTGTGGGCATGGTAGCACTGAAAAGGACGGTCTGACGCTGCCCGTTGAAGAAGGAGAAGATGGTGCGAATCTGGATGGTGAATGGTGAATGGTGAATGGTGAACCACAAACGAGAGGAGATACGTGTAACGTGAGATATGGACACAGGAACAAACGAATCAAGGCCAAGGCAGAACAACCAAGCGAGAGCACACAGGCGCACTTGCACAACCACACACACGCACGCACACATACACACACGCACACGCACACGCACACACATTCGTGAATCAACCCAACACACCACTTCTCAACAACAAACACCAAACATCAAAACACAGAAACACGGAGGTGAGCGATTGTTGCGTACGTCTTCCTCGAAGCCCAGATCAACCATGCGATCTGCCTCATCCATGCAAAAGTAGCGGCACACGTTGAAGGTGAACTTCTTCTTGGTCAGCATGTCAATCAGGCGACCGGGCGTGCACACGGCAATGTGTACAATGTTGTGGCACTCGTACAGCTGCTCCCGCATGTCCACACCACCCATGCACAGCACAATGTTCAGCTTGGGCATGCCGCCCTTGTGCAGCACGCCGGCATACTCCTTAACCGCATCAAACGTCTGCCGCGCAAGCTCGCGCGAGGGGCACAGCACGCACGCGTAAGGGCCCTCCCCGCGCTGGAACGGCATCTTGATCTCCTGCTCCATGGTCAGCATGATGGCCGGCAGCGAGAAGCACAGCGTCTTGCCGGACCCGGTAAATGCAATGCCAATCATGTCTCGTCCACTCAACGCAACAGGAAGCCCTGTTTTGTGCGGTATGATAAGCGTTGTGTGTGCGTGGGGCGGGGGGGGGGGAAGGGGTGCGTAAGAGTGTGTGTGAGAAAGATGATTGTTGGGTGATGAACTGGGTGCTCAGCTATGTACGAGCACTGACTTAATCATAGTGTCACACGCTTCACCCACACAAACGCAAACGCAAACTCACAGGTACAAATCGCGCCCAAAACCTATCACCCATCTCTCGCATGAAAACGTTCACCCACGCGCGCGCGTTCACATACACACACGCATGCACATACACACACGCATGCACATACACACACGCATGCACATACACACACACACGTATGCACACACACGAACACGAACACATGCACACACACCCACAACAAGCACACCTTGCATTTGAATTGGCGTTGGGGTCTTGATGCCTTGAGAGTCAAGGTAATCGACGAGGCATGTGGGCAGCTTCATGTCACGGAAGTTGGTGACGGCGGGTGCACAGTCACGGCCCTCCACGATAATGTTCCACTTCTTGCGAATGCGCTCGTTCTTCTGCTCTGTTCTGTGCCTGACGTGTCGCGGGGGCCGCCACGATGTCCTGATTGGCTCTGCATATGAGATGCCCTTTGCCAACTCCTCCACGGACTTGAGCTCCTTGGCGTTGCGGATGCTGCGCAGAATCTCTTGTTCCTGCGTGAGCTGCTTCTCCAAATCCGATTGCTCGATGATGCGCCCTTCCTGCATGCTTTTGCCGTGGAACTGCACCAGCGTCTGCTTGGCCTGCGGGCCAACTTGCGGCGCCGCCTGCTCCCGCTCCTTCCGTCGCCGCCTCTCCTCCTCCATCTGCTGCTGGTGGCGACGCCTCGCCTGCCGCTTCTCCTCCTTGTCCTTCTTCCTCTGCCGCAGTGGCACATACGGCACGTAGTCGTCCTCTTCCTCAGCCTTCAAGTCACCACCGTCATCCTCCACTTTCTCCCGCTTCGGCAGCAGCGTGCCATCATCACCTTCACCACCCCTCATCGTCGCCATCGTCGTTTGGTTGTGTGTGGTTGTGCGTGTGTGTCTGTGGTCGTTCTCTCCTCTGCTGCTTTGGTTGGCTTGTTCGTTGCGTGGATGTGGCAGCTGTGGAACTGAAATCAGTCGTTGCAACTCAGACATCATTTCATGCTGTTGTAACCTAACGGTAAATTTTCTTTCGTGGCTCTCCCCCTTCTGTTCTTGCTTGGCAACGCTTGCTTGCACTTATCCTTCCAACGCTTGACCACCAACCCAAGACTGCACAAACAGCACGACCCTACAACCTTCACTTGCTCGATCCACAAGAGGCAGGGAACCAAGGAACCAAGGTCACCCACCATGTCCATGTCGTATGCACCCCACAAGCTGAGGCCTCCAGAGGGCTTGGAGGAGCTCCTGTGGTCGTTTGCAAAAGAGGTTCGTTCCATGCCATGCCACAGCGCGAGCGAGCGTGGCACCTTGTCATGCAAAGTGAAACTTGTCACCTGCCTTGTTTGTACGATTCCACTCACCTCCCTCTCTGTAGCTCAAACATGTGTTCCTTTGTTCCAACTTCCAATGCTTCATGCACAAACTGTGCGTGCGTTGCCCACTTACTGCCTCTCGCACACCCTCATACATGAACACACACTCTCACATAAACACTCTCACACGAACACACACTCTCATACGAGCACGCACCTCACGCACACCCTCACTCTCATACGAACACACGCACACACACACTTCCTCACACACTCACATGCACACTGTCGATTGCTTGGTGTTGTTGACCAACAGGTCCTGCGGGATCAACCAAAGGACATTGTCAAGTATGGCGCACAGTACTTCAGGGCCGCGTACAACGAGCGTGAGAACCCTTCTGCACCACCCCCACCAAAGCCCGTCACCATCGTGCGAGAAACGCCGACGGAGGCTGAAACAACCTCCAGCGTGCAGACGACCCCAGCCCAGGCATCCGCGCCCCCAATGGAGACAAAACCCGCACAGCCGGCGCCAGAGGCAGCGCAACTGCCACCAAAGCCACAAGCACCCCCATCGCAAGCGTCAGCCCAAACGGAGCCGGAAAAGCCTGCTACACCTGCGCAGACGGAGCACGAAGTCCAAAAGCCAACAGCCAGCGTGCTCGAGCCTGAGTCCAAGCAATCAAAGCCGTCACCGCCGCCACTGACGTTTGGTAAGCAATGATTACTTTGTGGTCGTGGGTAAAAGCGTGAGTCAATTTGTGTGCGTGTGTGTGTGTTCACTGACCGGGTGCAAAACGGTAAGCAAGTCAGGGCAGCGATAAAAACTAAGCAGGTCAAAACCTTTTCTCACCAAAGTTCTGCTTGTCTGGTGTTCGTGCAGATCAACAGGCCCTGTTGCGGAAGATTGCACCGAATGAGGCGAGCAAGGAGGCGCTTGCGATCATCAAGGACAAGGATCAGATGAAGTCGCTGTGGAACCAGGTTGACTTCAACAACAACGGGATTGTGAGCCTTGCTGAGCTTGACAAGCTTGTTGTTGAGAAGGGGTGGAACATCAGCAAGCCTGCGCTGATGCGCGCGTACAAGAAGACGACGCTGAAGGACGGCGACGGGGATGCGTGGGTTGAGAAGAAGGAGTTTGCGGCGTTTATGCGCAACATGTTCTTCTTTGACCGCCTGTGGGATGTGTTTGATGACATTGACACTGGCGACGACCGACGGTGCGTCTTTCATTGCGTTGCGTTGCGTTGCGTTGCGTTGCACATGTGCATGTGCATGTGCGTGTGCGTGTGTGTGTGTGTGTGTGTTGTGGATTGGATGGATCGTGGATCACTCTGGGGACGGGCTGATACTGACGCGTTTGTTTTGTTGCGTTTGTTTTGTTGCAGGATTGACGTTGGGGAGTTCAAGGCAGGGATGGAGAAGCTTGGGTCGCGGCTGAGCGACGACGAGGCGCAGGCTGAGTTTGCGAAGATTGACCGCAACGGGGGCGGGCAGATTCTGTTCAAGGAGTTCTGCCACTACGTTGCTGGGCTCGTTGGAGCGGCGCTTGAGGGCGACAAGGCTGCGTTCCAGGAGGACACGGACCGGGCAGCGAAGAAGCCTGGCAGCGCTGGTGCGACGGAGGCGTCGAAGGAGGGTGCTGCTGAGGGCAGCGAAGCCAAGCCTGCTGCTGCCCCTGTTGCTGCCAAGGACGGCCTGAGTGAGTTTTTTTTGTTTTGTTTTGTTGGTGATGGCTGTGCTGCGCCATTGGCTGTGTGTGTGTGTGTGCATGGGTGGACGGTAGTTTGTTGCGTGGTGTTGCGTGGTGTTGTGTTATCATGCGGAGTGTGGCTTGCTCACCACTGCTTGTGCGTTGATGCGACTGTGTACATGTGTGTGTGTGTATGTGTGACAGACGAGGAGGGCCTGCTTGCGCGGCTTGGGCTGGACGAGGCGAGCAAGGAGGCGCTTGCGATCATCAAGGACAAGGATCAGATGAAGTCGCTGTGGAACCAGGTTGACTTCAACAACAACGGGATTGTGAGCCTTGCTGAGCTTGACAAGCTTGTTGTTGAGAAGGGGTGGAACATCAGCAAGCCTGCGCTGATGCGCGCGTACAAGAAGACGACGCTGAAGGACGGCGACGGGGATGCGTGGGTTGAGAAGAAGGAGTTTGCGGCGTTTATGCGCAACATGTTCTTCTTTGACCGCCTGTGGGATGTGTTTGATGACATTGACACTGGCGACGACCGACGGTGCGTCTTTCATTGCGTTGCGTTGCGTTGCGTTGCACATGTGCATGTGCATGTGCGTGTGCGTGTGTGTGTGTGTGTGTTGTGGATTGGATGGATCGTGGATCACTCTGGGGACGGGCTGATACTGACGCGTTTGTTTTGTTGCGTTTGTTTTGTTGCAGGATTGACGTTGGGGAGTTCAAGGCAGGGATGGAGAAGCTTGGGTCGCGGCTGAGCGACGACGAGGCGCAGGCTGAGTTTGCGAAGATTGACCGCAACGGGGGCGGGCAGATTCTGTTTGTCGAGTTTTGCAACTTCATTGCTTCTCTTGTTGGCGTTGACCTGGAAGAGTTTACCATGACCTAAATGCGTTCTGAGTGTTGTTTTGTTTTCGCTTGTGTGTCTTTTCGTGCCACACTTTGTTGTTTCATGTTCAAGTCGTTCTTGCCGTTAATGTTGTTCCTTTACTTGGGCTTTTGCTTCTTGCGCAACTCGCAAGAGTTTTATCAGCGCACTGCCTCGAACTCGCCCATGCTTCAACTCTTTGCACACTTGAATGACACTTCTTGCCTGTGTGGTCCGCGTCTTGTGCAGTAAATCCGGTCGTTCATCACCATGCACTCGCTGTCCACCACCCCCCACCCGCCATGTGCCTTGCTTTGTTCGCTCCGACACAACATCGCCATCGTTGCACGTAACGAGCTGAGCCTCCTGCCACTGCTGCTGTCTTCGTTGCGGCCTGGTGTCGGTCCGTCTCGCCGCTGTGCGGACAAATGCGCGTGCAGGTGCTGCATCAGCTGACAACGACGAACACAGCGACGTGTCAAATGCCTGCGCCAGGAGCTGTTGCTTGCGTGCGTTGAGCGTGCGCGTGCGTGAAAGCGTGTCCTGGTCCACGGCAAGTTTTCGGGCGATGGCGTCGTGGAACTGTGATGGCGGTGACTCCCCATCAGCCGAAACTGGTGCAGCTGCACACTGCAGCAGCGCGGACAGCGGAAGCAGCATCGGCTGCATGGAGCCTGTGGGTGGTTGGAGGGTGGGGTTAGAGAGAGAGAGTGTGTGTGTGTGAGCGTGCGAGTGAGTGAGTGTGTGTGTGTGTGTGTGTGTTGATGTGAGAGCGTGGTTGCCTGGGTGCGAGGTGGCGACACATGCGTTTCTGATTGCGCTGAACCGACTGACCCCGTGAGTAAAGGCAAACGCCTGCTTCAAGATTTGCTGTGTGGCCGGTGCACAGGATGCGTCCTGAAGGGATGGTGTCGCTTGGTATCAACGTAGTGCTGTACAGCAGCAGCCAGCCATGGCGTCGTGTGAGGTTGCAGTGCATGTTGCAAGCTGCAGACTGTATGGAACAGCAATTATTTCTAACCGCACGGATGAACGCACACGCACACACACACACACACACACACACACACACACACACATACACACGCACACGCATGCACACACGCATACACACACGCGCGCGCGCACCCTGTCGACGCTGAGAAGCATGTCAGGCCCTCCTGGGTAGACTGATGAATGAAGGTAGTGGAAGCACAATAGAGGGAGCCTGGCGGTTGGGCGAGTGAAATCACGCGAATGACACCTTGTGGGGACAGCAACACCGCCTATCAACCAGCACAACGGCGTCAGTGAGAATGTGAGCGGCGGGTTCGCTGTTCCGTGTCGCTTGATCAACAAGGAAGCACGCGTGCATGTGCATGCTTACATCTAAGGTTCATCCGGGTTCACATGGGGCTATACCTGGCTGAGGGTTGTGAGGAGGCACAGACGCGGTGGAGATAAGGAGCACACGACTTGGAGCGTGTGTGCCGCATAGTCACGCGGAATCACCGAAGCCACGTGGTCACCAGCCACCACTGCAAAGATGTATGGGCGGAAGAGGGAGTGTGTGTTTGGGGGGAGGGGAGATGGGGGGAGAATGATGGTGTGAGTGTATGTGTGTGAGAGTGAGAGAGATGAGAGGTGGGCAGGAGGGAGAGCCACGTGTCAATGACACATGCGTTGCACACAGGGTTGCCACACGCACCGTCAAGGAGTGCCCATTCGTCGGCAGCCGTCGAACACAGCACGAGCGGCGCTGAAGCAAAACGGCAAGCGCACATGTTGTGATATGAGAGGGGGGGGGGGATGGTGTGTGTGTATTGTGTTGTGTTGTGTTGTGTTGTGTTGTGTTGTGTTGTGTTGTGTTGTGTTGTGTTGTGTTGTGTTGTGTTGTGTTGTGTTGTGTTGTGTTGTGAGTTCATGCGCGGGGTACCTGTCGGGTGCCTTGATGGCACTGCAAAGTGAGCAAGGGCAGGCGAGGCGGCAGCGACCTTCTTGACAGATGCGTCCAGGTGAAGCGCTATGAAGCCACAGTGCACACAAGACAAAGGAAGCCAGCGAGCATGCGTGTACGTTTGTACATGTGCATGTGAGTGTGCGTGAGAGAGTGAGAGAGTGAGAGAACGACAGAAACAGAGACAGACAGAGCGACATAGAAAAGCACATCCACACACATATACACACACACACACAACGCCACTTCACGCTCTCTCGCACGCATGGACAATCTCACACACGTTCCCTTGCGTGCACACCTTGCTGCGGTCCGAGGAGCGTGCAATCGTCAAGAGCGGCATAGCCGTGGCCAATGGCGCGCACCTGCAATCGCGGAAAGGATCGAACGCGCGTGTGAGGTGGTGCGTGGCAGTGCATTGACGTGACTACCCCTCAAGCACAGCAGAACGAGACGAATCTGTTGTGCAGAGCGTACACCTTCAGCGACGTGGCTGCTGCTGCTGCGCACTCGTATGAATGAATGAGCTCGTGTACTCCAGTGGCTGAGAGCTTGTAGCGCCGTACGATGATGACGGCGGCCTTCTTGTGAGTGGTCTTGTCCTTTGGGGTTGTCACGACGAGGAGCTGTCGAGGGGATGGGGAGGTTAGTTGCAGCACCACCTCACCTGTCATTGTATCGTATCGGAGATGTGTGTGCGTCAGTAGATAGGCAGAGGCGGAGGAAGTCAAGGTGGTGCCAGCAGAGAGTTAGTGTTGGCAGCGAGCCAGCGGTGAGGGGAAGAGACGCAAGCGACGTGCTGGTAATACAACCAGCCACCCCAGTGAGCGACGCACATACACACACATACACACACACACGCACTCACTCACTCACTCACTCACTCACTCACTCACTCACTCACTCACTCACTCACTCACTCACTCACTCACTCACTCACTCACGCACTCACTCACTCACTCACTCACTTTACCTGGCTTCACTGGTATGTGGTGCCGTCGAGGCGCTGGCACTGCCTGCACAACATCTGTCGCTGCCTCGTACACAACGTGAATGCGCCTGCCCCCACTGCTGTCGCCCCCGTGCCCAACAGCACCAGCCTTTCCCGCACCAACAACCACTGCACATTCACCTGCGCCCACAAACACGCCACAACAACCGCCACTGTCATCAGCGTCCATCTTCCTCCTCCCAAGCAAGCAACAAAACGCAAATCCACACCACCTCGTGCACCACCAACCGAGATGGCGATGGAGGCCAGGTATGCTGGCGTGTGCAAGCTGTGCGCTGGCGACGTGAAGCCTGGAGACCGCATCTGGCCAGGAGAGCTCGAGCCCGTGTATGTGCAAGGGTCGCAACCGAACAAGGGCGCAGCAACCTCGGAGAACAATCATCATGGCGAGCAGCGACACCAGAAGCACAAAGGCACCAACACCACCACCACCACCACAAACACCGCCACCACTACCCCCAACACCAGCATCGGCAAGAAGCCGCGTGGGGTGCGCATGCGACGACCGTGGGTGCACGTGCAGTGTGCTGCAGCACAGGCGGGCGTGCCCGAAAGCGAGCTTGTGCCTCCGCTGTGTAAGCACTGGAAGCAGCGCGGCACGTGCCTGGGGCGAGAAAGGTGCATCTTCTCCCACCCTGAGGAGCTTGGCGCAGCGGTGCGCGAGCGGCTGGTCAGCGAACGCGCGCGGCGAGAAGCACGGGCCAAACCAAACAGACACGGCGAAGTGGAGGCGCCCATCCAGAACCGCGGCAAGGGCAAGCGCAACCTGGTGCGCAACAAAGCGCGGAGCTCCGTGTTTCGCCGCTTCATCATTGACACGTTTGGCTGGCACACGCTCATGTCTGGCTCTGGCGTGCTCGACGTTGCTGCCGGCAAAGGGGAGGTGAGCTTTGAGCTCACGCGCCTGTGCGGCATCCCGGCGGTCTCTGTGGAGCCGCGCGCCATGTCCCTGGAGCGGTTTGTTCGACGCATGCGGAAGGGCGCTTACCACCAGAACCCGCTCTTCCTCAACTACACCAAGTTCAAGACGCCAACTGCATCCATGCAGCACACAGAGTGCCGCATCTTGCACGTGCGCTCCCTGTTCCAAATGCCGTTGGAAGAACAAGCAGAAGAGGAAGAACAGGAAGAAGAACAGGAAGACAGCGGCCTCCCCCTGTGCCTGCGCGACGAGACCGCGTGGCAGGAGAGTGTGGCTGCGGCACGGATCCTCACGTGGGACCGCAGTGGCCTGCACGAGAAGGGCGCTGTTGTTGGACGGAAGCACAAGGCGCCGCGAAGCGAGACGAAGCGTGCGCGGCGGCGACGCGGGCGAAAGCTTGGTCGCATATGGAAGGAGGCACTGGCAAGCGGCATGACGCCAGAGGAGGCCATTGCAGAGCTGAGGCGGGTGCAGCAGCAGGAAGAAGAGGAGGAGAGGAAGAGGAAACAGCAGCAGCAGCAGCAGGTGTTGGGGGAGAAAGGCGAGAAAGATGAGGATGAGGAAGAAGATGATGATGGTGTGCCGTTTATGGACGTGTTTGACATGGATGAAGGGAGTGGTGGCGAGGACACCACAACTGTTCAGCGAGATGGGCACGAGGAAGGAGAACATAGGGGCGGGCAAGACGGGGCTGACAATAAGGAGAGTGGCAAGGAGGACGCGAGTGATGCTGACAACAGTGACGCTGACAACAGTAATGATGAGGCGAGCGACGGTGACGAGAGTGATGATGGAGATGATGATGGTGGTGGTGGTGGTGATGATGATGATGG